ATTTGCTTTTATGTGTAAAAAATAGAAAACTTCATATCAGTGAATGTATGAAACATGGACATAGAGATGATATAATTTGTTGCCAAATATTTTCTTTTTCTTCCTTTCTTTCTTTCTTTCTAATTATTAAAATATACCAAACATTCATTTAAGATTCATTCTTACAAGAGATGTTTTAAAATAGAGTCCAAATATTTATTAAAAATGAAAAGTTCTACTTTCCTGTCCTGGTCTATAGAAGATTTTTCTCATAAAAATCTAACCCTATCATGCTTTCAGTTTACTGGCCTTAGTAACGACGTCTCTCAAATCCCACTATATTTTGATGAAAGCGTGTCCCTTGTTCTTGCGAATAAACCCGCATAATTATCTATAAATGTATCTCAATGAGAAAGTGACGTACATCTTTAGAGGCAGTCTACTATGAAGATGGAAAATTCAAATCGCTATAACGCTATAAATATATAAAAAGCAAATATTTTCAATTGTAATCGCACTTTTTTATATAGATTTGCTTATAATATGTATAATCAGAATAGAATAAGTAAAATCCATGCGCAAAAAAAAATTTTTTTTTTGTTGACCGGTGTTAATTTCCAGGTACGGCTACCCTGGACGAAGCTGTCTGATGATGAGCATCTGTGAGAATGCAAGCGCAATGTTCCACCACAACGGCGTCGTTGGAGATCTGCTGCATCTTATTCTAACGTAAGATACTACAATTTATTTAACATGTTCTTAAGTAGGTACCTATATTGTTTTAAACTTTCATGGTCACTAACATAATTATTTGAAAGGTGAATGCAGGCCGCTACCAACCGTGCGATGTGGAAGTCATTGGGGGAGGCCTATGTTCAGCAGTGGACGTCCTATGGCTGAAATGATGATTGCTACCATGTACCTTAATTTTGAGTTTCCGATATTAGTAACATCTCACCCGCAAGTTTCTTCAGTTACTCCGTGACCATGGCGCTTGCAACAGTGCCGAAATATCGGAAACTCAAAATTAAGGTAGCAATCCCGTCAGTAATAATAATTAAATTCTTAAGTCTATAAAATGAGCTAAAGGATTATGTATCCCAATATGATTTTTAAAGTTTACCACTTCGGGACAATGCTTCAGCACAACTTTAGCAACTCACGTCTGTATTCACAAACGATGCTTGTGCGTTCGATTTGCTACTTCAGTTAATAAGCAATTATTAAGTGGAGTAGCAAATCGAACGCACAGCGTTGAATAGAGCTCTGTGATTGGTTCGTGTGTCACCCTGTGCGTCCACGCGCACTGTGAGAGCTCATAGTAATGTTTTTGAATACGGGCGTCGGTCACTATTGATAGCTTCTCTTTCAATTGGCTGTTTCAATTTCACTTATATTTCTCTATTCATCATTCTTTAACAACTGTAGTGCTAATTATTAACATGTAGTAAAGGTACCTAATTCCTAATATTTTCCTAACCTATATTTCCAGTATGTAAATAACAAGTTAGTAAAAATGTTGTACTAAATTACAGAAGTAGTGTTAAGCTACCAAAGTTGGTACATTATTTAGGCCGCCAACGGTTAGTAAGTTCGGTCCACAAAAACTAGTGAAATTTCCCAGAACGCATGCGAATGAGGTATGGTATGTTTGATTAATGATTTAACGTTTTGAATTTACTTAACAAAAGATCACACTAATTTTCAGGCCTTTTACTTCATCGTTTTGATTTTAATTATATTTATTCACAAAACTGTGACTAATTCTCCCACATTCGTAAATTGCAATCAGTATCTAGATAAGTCTAATGCAAAAAACATGTAAAAGTAATAATATGTATTTTACGTAGAGAAAAAAAATCATAAATTTTATTGCGAAGTGAAGCGAATAAAACAGCATTTTACATCGTAGATTAATATTAAAACTCTATTAAAGTGACTGGGCTATTAGCGCTTATTTTCAGCACTGGCCCTAAAAACGTTTGCAACCTGTAAAAACGTTTTTAACAGCCTAATTGCAAAATTAAATAAGTCAAAAATCTTATGGCTTTTTTTTACATTTTTCAGGCCATCAGCGTCAATGCTAGAAGAAGAAGTAGAAGACTCGTACTACGAAGCGGAATACTACGGAATGGCCGAAGAATGCGGGAGATACAGCATACAATGTCCTGAAAGCCCGTTGGATCTATTTTCAGTACATGTGGAAAAAGCATTATAGCAAGAGTTTTGGACAAATGTCATAAAATGAGAATTAACTTTGAATATCAGGCATGTTGAAACTATGAATTGAACTTGGCTTGACACCCTGCCGCGTGTCTAGATGTACCTAATTTTTATAATCTACCAGTATGGAAACAAGTGTCGTCCGTTAATATTGCAATATTTAAATTGAAGAGATATCAGTGAACTAATCATCCTTATTAAAGTTATTTAATACTGCCAAAAATAACAAGATATTTTTGTATTTGTATATTCCTTATTTGTATCCATATTATGACTTCAAGTTTTTTTCAAAAGAAAGCGGAGTTTGATATCCTTCTTTAGACATTTTATACTACAAAAATATGCAAAGTTAATAGAGTATCAGACAACGATTTAACATACCTATCTAAATACTTTTTCTTGTAAATACACTATACATAGTTAATACTAAGTTAATAAAACACTTTTAAGCAAACCAATGTTTTTATTGTTCATAGAATCTATAAGATCGGACCTCTAGCACGGCAGGTGAGTTCCCATCCACTTCAGCAAATCGACAGCCATATTATTATCCTCCACAGTCCAAACTATTCAAAGCCAAACAATACAACGTGGTCTTTATCCCAAGCACTCAATTTCCTTGTAGAGATACTATGCGTTACGTACATTGGGAGCTGTTATTATGCAAATTGCTAAGAGAAGCCCATCAGTCCATCAACAATAACTAACGCTTCCTCCTAAGTTACCTTTACATCTGTAAGGCACAAGCATTTATGGAACCCTATCAAGCAGAAACGCCTTTAATTATCATCATTTTAAGGTCTATATTCCAAAGATTCTGGTCTCAGATTACTGTAACTTACATTGCTTAGTTAATAAAGAACCTTACAACTTTGGATTAAAGTCTGTTTTAATAAGATAGTAGAGAATCCAGGAACTATTAGGTAAGTTACTCTGCTGAAAGGAAAAGCTATTTATGTTGCTGTAATTAGGAATAATTATCTCAACTACTTAGTGCAGCCATTTCTTGAGGAATATGGCATAAAATTACTTTAAAAAGTGCTTAATAGTAATATCCACTAATCTTTCTTATCTTTATCATACTGGAAACCGCAGAGTAGGACGTCCACCCACAAGGTGGACCGACGAACTTATAACGGTAGCAGGACGGCGCTGGATGCAGGCCGCTACCAACCGGTCATTATGGTAATCATTGGGGGAGGCCTATGTTCAGCAGTGGACGTCCTATGGCTGAAATGTTTAAAACCAAACTAGACACAGGAACATAATTTAGATGAAACCTAAGGTTTAAATATTAGGGATTACCAGGGCCCTCCTGCTCAGTAATATTCATAAAAATAATCGACTTCTATCAATTTTTTTTTACATTCGGGATAAAAGCTACCGGTCTTATATTCGTGTAATCGTAACATAAATAACCTTTTTGGAAGCAAATAAACTTTCTCAGTCAACTTTCGTCAGTGTTTGCTCTATTAGTCTGGTATTTGACACTGCACCAAACACCAATATACATCTAAAGCAAAAGGTTCAACTGGAGTTTACCATAGAGTGTAAGGTAAAGAGGTGAGGTAAGCAGATAATCATTAAGCACAGCAAATAAAACTGTCATTGGGCCCGCAACAAAATTAATCAAAAGTAAATAGAAGGAGCTTGAAGTTAACGATATAGGCAACAGCTAGTATATGCATAAAATTATCAAGATACGGTATATCTTTAACATTAACCTACTACGATCCAGTGAAGGTAGCGGGATGCACGTAGTTGCCGACAGCGCAGTACCGGTAATCCTTTGGGAGGCCTTTGTCCAGCAGTGGACGTCTTTGGTGGAATATTAAAATGAAAAATCTTTACTCATTTTAGACAAAATGTTGGCACTTATCTCCTTATCTTTTGGGTTCTGTCAGCGCTTCGAGACAAACATATTATTATATCGGATGCTGAGAAGAAACGCTGAAATAAACGTACCTAGCTGAAACAACAAACAAATGTTTCTGTCAAAGCGCTTTTAAAGCAAAAAATAATGAGAGCTCTTAAGACCATTTGATTATTTGTAAGAACTGATTTAGTAAGTCTAAACAAATAAAAATATTCTTGATTTAATTTTGATTTTGGACCTACTGCATCCATGTACACTTTGGCTGCACTCAATGCCTGAACCCGCTTCGTGATAGAGCCGTAAGGTCGCGGGTCCCCGGTCACTTAGCACCTTTAGTGGCGCGCCACGGCACAACTTATTGACACATAACGGAACTTTTGGCTGACTGTACTTACTGACCACACGATAATTTAGGGTGCGAGACAAACACAGGTTTTTGATTGAAAATAGTTTTTTTTTGTGATTTAGTAAAAATGTGATGACGTCTTGTTTATTAAATTAAGTAATATATCTTCAATGTCGGTAAAAAATCATTTTGTTATGAACACTTTGAGCTTTCCTAACCTAACCTAACCTAACTCGTCTGTCTAATGAATAACTTTCATTTAAAAAAAAAATATGTGCATAGTTAAGTTTTACGTAGATACCTAAGTTACGTAACTATTCCCCCCTCTCGTTCCCACCGCTGCAACTCCTATGTAGCCAAAATCTAAAGCTACTCGTACGTAGATGATCTATCCATTTTTGCTTGACATTCCACGCTTTACTCCTAAAAAGAAAAAGTAATTTTCTCTCGAATCCTATTAACGTGCGCAATTATTTAGCGTGTACCCTATAATTTTCTATACCAAGTAAGCAATGTGGAGCAAATAGAGACAGATGTTTTAACATTTCATATGTCAGTACCAGTTTGTACATCATACGTAGAAATAGATGAGTGTATTGTGACTGTGTTTAGATAGTGAAAACTATGAAGTATTTCAAAGTTATGATGTTACTGTAAGTGTGGAAGTTAATGATTTTTCAAACTCGTTCTTTAATTATTGTGAAATCATTTGAATAAAATTTTAATTTCTAGAGGGCTGCTTTTCACAAGTTGCCCAGGCAGAAGTGATCGTCAAAAGAGAGCTCTAGTTTTCCCTCCCACCAGTCTTTACGGGGTAAGTCAAAGTTTAATCATACTAAAATCAACATACTAAACATTGGATTTTCATCATTTCAGTCTTGAAATAGGCTTCAGCTATTGAGCAAAATATTCAGTAACTTCATTCTTCTGTAACACTGTCTACCATAAATTCCTTTAATTGGACAAAAAAGTCTCAAGTCTTTGATTTTTACATAAATATTAGGAACGAAGGCCACGCACCACATTTACATACAAATAGCTCTTTTTATGAGACAATGGCACATCGCACTTATCGCTATGGCATCTTAAGTGTTTGCAATAAATGCAATTTTGGATTAAATTCTATAATTCATATCTATGCTTTATCGATTTATGTCACATTGTCTCATTTACCCTTCGAAGAAAACCTTTTAGGAAAAATATATCTTTGTGTACATGGATTTCACATAACTTTACCTTGTTCCAGACGTTCGTAGCCATAGCCGTGCCCATAGACATTCCCGACAAGAACGTGTTCGTTTCGTACAACTTCGAGTCCAACTACAGCGTCATCACCAACATCACCGAGATTGACGAAGTCCTGTTCCCAAACCTGCCGGTAAGACCCAAAAATCAAATATCGTATGCTATATTGTCCATATATGGCAGGCCTCCTACTAGGTGGACCGACGATCTGGTAAAGGTCGCGGGAAGAGCCTGGATGCGGGCAGCGCAGGACCGTTAATTTTGGAAAACCTTGGGGAAGGCCTGTGTCCAGCAGTGGACGTCATTTGGCTGAAACGACGATGCTATATTGCCTGCAATATAGTGTGCAATATTGCCTGCAGAACCGTAGCAGATCAAGGGGCTCAAATTGTCCAATCACCAGCATCGCTGCAGGAGGCCTGTAGCGGCCAAGATCGGCTGCTTGCTTTCTGGGTGAATCTGGGGTTGGAGTTGGAGTAGGAAGATGAATCACAAATCACGCACATTGGCCCAATCAAGAGGCTAAGTGCGGTTTTGATTGCCCTGCAAAACTAATTAACTAACTATTGCCTGCAATAAAGTCATTTAACGTTTGCAAGTAGGCTTTCAGAAAGAGAGTTTACTCGCTAAATATAGCTTGCCCTACCTCCACTTCGGACAACATTTATGGACTGGTGTTGAGAAGAAGTGGCAGAAGAAACTGATGCCCGTTTTGTCCAAATATAGCTTGCCCTACCTCCACTTCGGACAACATTTATGGACTGGTGTTGAGAAGAAGTGGCAGAAGAAACTGATGCCCGTTTTCACCATCAATCCCTAATTTATAAATGACCCTTATGAAAACAAAATCCATATAATGTGTTACCATAGAGGACACTTAAAAATTAGGGTATGATAGTGAAAACGGGCATGAGTCACCTTTTTCAGCTTCTTAGGCAACATTGTATTAATTAAAGCAACCTGAAGATCAGTAAAATTGCGTTGATATAAGGATAAGAAATATTTTAGAAGCCTACAGGGTGCCCGATCTTCATTAAAATTATTAGGTTAATAGGCACTTAGGTTTTGTCGTAATTATGTTAATGGCCATTCAATATAATCAATGTCGAATGAATCCAGAATTTTATTCAATTACGGTGTGTCTATTGATGAAATTTTAATTTCGCTATATGTATTGCTTATTATGTTTTCTTATTTACATTACATTAATCCTGCACTATTGTGGGACGAATTGGTTCTCACACCTTACTTGTTGTTGTAAAGTACGAGTAGATCTTAACTTTAAATGCGCACTAGCATTTCCATACACAATGAAATACGATATGTATACTATTGTTATTTAGATGCTAATTGGGACACAGTAGACAACTAAATATCACCGACTGACAAAGGTGACTGGGTTTCTTCTGCCACTTCTTCTCAGCACCAGCCCATATGTTGTCCCGAAGTGGTGGTAGGGCAAGCTATACCTATTTGGGATATTTATAAGTGCCCTGGAAAGGACCTAAGTACTGAATTTTAATGATTTCATTTGATCGACTTAAGGCAAGACTATTTCTATACCAAACTTGTTCAACCATTTTCTTTGATCTTCAATATTTTCAAATATTTTCAGATTATAAGTTCCCGGCAAACACGGAGCATAACGCGGGAGCTGGCATACACTGTATTGGAAAACAGATTTAAGGAGTAAGTACATAAAGTACTATTTTAAATGTATTGACATTCTGTACGTGTTATGGGACAAGTGCTGGTAATACTTTGCGGAGGGAAAATGACGTAGAGCTTGAAATCTTAAATTTCTAGCTGGAATATCTTTCTACAAAGAGAACAGAGAGGGATATTGATAAGCTGATATACACAAAACTTTTTTATCAGACTACGCCCAGAAGGGTTATCCATTTTCTTGCATATTTTTGCTATTTTAGTATAAAAAGTGAAATTCCGTGGGGAAAACCCTTATGTACCTAGCGGCAGACGGCATTAGATTAAAAAATAACTAGATAACTTAACGCTATAATAAACAAAAACTAATTCTCTACATTTCTACACTACGAGTATAAAAATCAATGAACAGCTCAAAACGGCTTATTTTGGAATATCTTCCTGATAAAGTTTATTTTTATTTTCGGTTACTTGGATTAATTTCAGTTGAAGATTAGGATTTTAATTATTTTAACTTTAACCAATTCTTCATACGTTTCAGACATGGCATGAATGGGAAGGAGTGCATGCTGAGAAACATTTGCGAGGCTGCGGAGACCCCGCTACACCACAATGGACTCCTTGGGCACATCATGCACATTATATTTACGTAAGTAAATAAACTTTTAAAATAGTTCTTCACACTGTCACTGTTTGAAACATCAGGCCATGGATAAGCTTTTCTGTAATATTGTTAAACCAAACGGTTCTGAACTGTTCTGAACTACAGGTTTGTTTTGCTATAAAGTCTGCATGAAGCTGAGGATTTCGTGTCATGATAAAAATATCGTCGAATCTTCCCTGAAAATAAACTATGCTCTAATAAGTAGTTAGTTCATTTATCTGCGTGCATTTTAATATCTTCAACATAAAACCTTTTTGCACCACCTTCTTTCCCGCTTTGCCCAAAGATTGAGTTAAAATTAAAATATATCAATAAATGGTTCAAACTTACTTTTCAGGCCATCGTCATCGCGCGAAGAGGGTCTAGATGATGACTACTACGAAGCCGAGTTGGAGGGCCAGAGAGGGAACTGTGACAGGTACCTCGACGACTGCCCCCTGAGCTTGTTCGACCTCATAACAAGGCTTGTGGAGATAAGGCACAAATGACTTGGATAGAAATATATGTTTTGTTTGCTTATGGTAGTTTTTCTTAGCACCCTGTGAGATTCGAAGCCACGAACGTAGCTGGTGTCGTCAGGCAAGTCACCAAGTGTGTGTTCTAAATGAGATAAAAGGATGAAAAGAATATAGGGACTGCTTTTTTTATAATATTACTATAGTTTGATCTACCTGAACTTTTATGGGAAATATTGTTTCAAACATCTTTCTTCATTCGTTATTTTTTCTTAGCGATAGAGTCGCTTCTCAAACTAAATTTTAAAATAAACAACTTGAAATCTCAACTCAGCAATTTAACCCAAGACCTTTCGGTTGCCGGCCAACTTTTTTTGCTCTTTCTTAATTTTTTCTAGAATTCTAGAAATACACTAGAAGTTCTAGACTTTATCTTAGTTTTGCTGTAATTGTGTTAACGATAGTATTGAAATCGTAATATCGTTTTATCGATAATGTGACTGATCAAAATAAAATACATTCTACAGTAGGACAAAATCTTTTCACTTCTATTAGTCATTGGGTCCAATATGAAGTATCGGAGGTGTCTCTAGTGTTAACTTGACATTTATAGAATAATCAACATCATCATCATCATCATCTCAGCCATAGGACGTCCACTGCTCACTCAACATAGGCCTCCCCCAATGCTTTCCATGATGCCCGGTTGGTAGCGACCTGCGTTCAGCGCCTTTCTGCTACCTTTATGATGTCGTCGGTCCACCTTGTGGATGGACGTTCCACGCCGCTTTTTCCGGTACGTGGCCTCTACTCCAGAACCTTGCTGCCCCATCGGCCGTCAGACTGCGTACTATGTGCCCTGCCCATTGCCACTTCAGCTTTTCTTATAAATCTATCTGAGATGAGTGAGTAAATAAAAACACTGATTTATAATTCAAGTTTATTGTGCACAGATAATTAATAAGAAACATTAAGTAGGTACACATTATTCTATTATAAACATTGCCATAGTTATAAAATTCATTAAAACTTAAATTCACAGCCGTTAAAAACTCTTATTGGCAATATAATTTATTTCTTAGTTTCTAATAGGTACTATTGCATAATTAATATTATGTTTATTTTTTCATACTTTAAGATATTTTTTTAATTTTTACCATTAATCTATGATATTATAGTTCATTTATGTAAAAAAATTGAAACGAAAACAAAATACATTTCTCAAAACCACATAATAATATACCTACATTCATTTGTATAACGCATCTCAATGCTTAAAATAAAATTTGGCAATTTCTGAACACGTTAATTTACTTTTTTCGTAAAAAAAATCAATAAGTACACATTTTCAGTAGCTTCATTTTCATCAATAATATTCATTCATTTAGATTGACGTACTTAATCTGATTTTAGTCTAATCTAAATTTTGCCACATAAAATTAGTTTCTCTATAAATAAACATATATTTTGTTAAGGATACGATCTCCTACATGACAAAACCCAATGGGCTTCTGAACTTATACTTTAGGTTAAATGTATACTGATCAAATCCTTACGAATATTTTAAATACTGGTTGTGTTATGGCACTGACACTGTGACGCATCGTGACACACAGGTGGAGTCACATCTATCGTAGTTATGACTCGTGTGTTGGGTCATAAGTTTTGGCCAATAAATACTGTTTTTTCTTCAAATTACGAACTTAACTGACAATCCCAATGGTCTCAATATCCTTCGGATAAAAGAAGTTGTTCTTCCTCATCGGTATGGAGGATATCTGCTGGTCTACTGGCACCCTGGTGTCGTACAGTGAAGGCGATTGGAAGATGATCCCGAAGGTGCCCACGAAACAGGCGATGGTGAACAGCCACAGGAAGAAACGGTCCAGCACCATGGACATGAACTTCCAATCTTCTACGACCTGAGAACAAACAGAAAATATCAATAATGCAATAAAACATAAGTGACCAATTTTTTTTCGTTCGACTTCCTGGCCACCGAGAATTAGAACATTTTATTTGATGTCATGTAAGACCTAAAAAATCATTATCACCATCAGGTCATTCTGTCTCCACTGCAAAAGCATATTATACCTCTCTCTGATTAACTAGATCCTGCACTAAGCCTACACTCCTTATACTGGTCATATGGGATGGCAAGGAACACTTTTCGCATATTTATCCCTTAGTATCTTTTACGACATCAACAGAAAGAGTGGAGGTCAAGGGAAATTTTAAAAAATGTATTTTACTCAGTGCCGCCAACCCACATAATTAATAGATCTTACATAATATGGGTGGTCCAAAGGATAACATATCAGCGACTTCATTGGAAAACATGATTCATTTCACTGATATTAACGCCCGTATTCACAAACGATGCTTGCTTAAGTGAAGCAGCAAATCGAACGCACAGCGTTTACTAGAGCTCTGAGATTGTTCCGTGTGTAACCCTGTGCATCCACGCGCACTGTGAGACCTCATAATATTTGTAAATACGGGCGTTAGTTCCTGACATGTAACGAGGTAAGACGTGGCTTCGTAGTTCCCAATCCACCATTGAAGAATTCCCAATTCAACTGTTCTAAAACTACTTATTCCTAATTATGCTTTAGAGCACTCTATGTATATGGATTAAGCGACTAAATGAAGGGGCTCCCAGAGCTGACGCAAAGACAGTTTAAATGCAAATCTTCGGATTATCCGCACTTAAGTGTTGCAGGAAAATCGATCAAAAGTATCGATAGTTTTTAATGACTACTGTGTTTCATGTATCGATACTATTATTACCAAAATGTAATCCCAACTAATATTATAAATGCGAAAGTAACTCTGTCTGTCTGTCTGTCTGTCTGTCTGTTACGCTTTCCCGCTTAAACCTCGCAACCGATTTTGATGAAATTTGGCATAGAGATAGTTTGAGTCCCGGGAAAGAACATAGGATAGTTTTTATCCCGGTTTTTGAAACAGGGACGCGCGCGATAAAGTTTTTCTGTGACAGACAAAATTCCACGCGGGCGAAGCCGCGGGCGGAAAGCTAGTAGAAAATAAACAGTAATAAGTAGTGTTGTTAAATCGCTTTTTGAACACTAAAATAGACTTTAAAGTGAAACGTTTTGGTAGTACCACTGCAAACTTTTATGGAAATTGAACACGGCATAAGTGGAATTACTTCGTATGAAATACTTTGGTCTCAATCATTTATAACTTTGTGATATGACAAACAATATGTAGAACAATACATTCGGCATATTATCGATAGTAACAATGACAGTGTCTGACAAATCGATAGTATTTTCTACAACACTATAAAAAAAATACTCCTCAATTAAGGACTAAAGTGGCTCCGGAAAAAATAAACAAGTAATTCGCTGTAATTCTAATGGTTTAAACTGATTAGCAATCTGAAAGCCTCTTTGATTTTCCATTTCTCTTGTCGACTATAATTTAAAAGTTTCTTAAGGAAATCCCATCCAATTATGCTAAAGAGCCAATTTGACGACCGGCGGCTTGTTTGCTTGTTTTCAAAAGCACTTTAATTGAACCCTTTCTAAGAACAATAAAAACTTTTAGCGGACATTTTTTCATTATTTCCGAGGAGGAGAATGGGGGAAGCGTATCAAGGGACAATTTCCGAGGAGAGATTAGGCGTTTATGGAAGAACAATGCGTCGGGTCTAAGGCCACGGTCGTGTAGCGGCGAAACCCGAAAGTGTAACTGTGTGACGCGTGGTCAAAAGACTACTGTGCTAAAGCCTATAGATGGTAAAACGACTTTGCGGAGTGGTTAAAAATGGATAGAGTTTGAGAAAAAAATTAATCACGCTATCTAAGGCCCAGAACAGACGGTGAAACGCAACTGCAACGAAACTGCAACTTTCTGATTATTCTGATGAATTAAACTGAAACTGAAAGTTTCAAACTGGTCGCGTCATGTGTGGTCTCTCAACGGACGCTATGGCAGAAACTTAGATGCAACTCAAAAGTAACTAGCAGTTGCAGTTTCGTTGCAGTTGCGTTTCACCGTCTTTTCTGGGCCTAACACTTATCAGGGGGGCTCATAAAGTTAGTCTTACCGTAGTACTTATTATTATTCTGTGGTCTTACTGTTACTTTAACACCTTTGCTGCGGCAGTAACTTTCTAATACTTTCCATTCCTTCGGTACAAGGTCGGTAAACCTGGTATTAAAACTTACATTGTGGCGGCACAAGGCTTAAAGACCTTGTAATGTTTAAGATATATTAATTTTATTTTTGGCTTCATGTTAATAGATATTATGTTTTTTTTCTTTGAATATTAATAATAATGCATTTATTGACATACACCTGAAGGCGTTCGTGAATAACTTGTTTAGTATAAAAATTATAGCTATATTCAAAATACAAGGCTTATGCACCCTGTGCCGCACTGAAGTAGGGAATTCTGGTGGGTATTCTAGGGATGTGAAATACAAATATCGATAGTTTAAATTAAGTTTTAATAAAAATTAAAAAAAGTAACAAACAAACATGTTTTAATAATTTAGTCTAAATATTTTACAAATAAGACATACGTGCATAAATACTTAAATAAGCTATATATAAAGAAAACATATTATTTAATAACATTTAGTTACAACTTCAAATGTTTGTCACGAAAAACATTACTTAAATTAGCAATAAATCGTGTAGCAAATTAAATTATAATCAATTTGCAGTTTTGATTTTGTTTGTTTTTCTTGACGCCATGTCGACATGTGCGTTTCTTACGAATGCGAGGCAACACTGGCTGCACGAAGCTAGCGTGGGGTGCGGTACCAGGTGCGCAGGGTACAAGGTGCTTCGACCTGGTTTCGCATTGTGAAGACATTTTATTACTTCCGTGCGGTACCAGGTCTAAAAACCTGGTATTAAGGTAGGTACATCATTGGATTCTATTTTAAGAATACATCATAGATATATATTCATCACTTTCCTACACCGGACCCAATTGAAGTTATGCCTTTCGCACGACAAGGAAGACTATAATTTTCTTAGCCGCACGGTAAGCGAGACGTACACAAGGACTATAGACCTGGTTTCGCACTCAACGTGTTAAAAACACAGCATTGAGGCAATGAGAGTCACATGATTTTATTGTTAAAACCTATAATTGCTCTACATCCATAGCGCTACTATAACAAATGCGTTACAGTGTTCTAAAAACGAACTGTTTTCTCATAAATTTACAACTTCTGTAATGTTTTAGCGATAATCAATTAATCACACTATGATCTACCCGCCTACGCCCGGTCGCACGCCCCGCGCTAAGCCCCGTATATAAACGGGAGCTTAAAGTTCTTTGATCACGTACAGACTGACACTCCGGTTCACGCAAATAAGATGACATCTTTCACTTATATTTTCAGTGAAAATAAATCTCGCTTTTCTGAAGCCCTTTTGTGGAATTCCTTTTATTCTTCCAAAGCACATTTATATTATTATACCCTTATACGCTCAAAGCATTCTTCAGTCAAGATTTTTCAAATTAAGGGTTTTATTGTTCGTTTACAATGGAGTGCTTTTACGTAATAAACCGTATGTTCAGTTTGTTAAATGGATTGAAAGAATATTTAGTAACATTCAGCTGAAAATGGCACGCACGAGCTGCAGTATGTCATTTAATGTAATGTTATAGTTTACGTTATGTATGTGTCTTTTTTGTATTCCTGAAAAATCGGATTTATCGAGGAAGGCTTTAGGCTATATAACTTCACCCTACAACCAATAGGGGCGACGCAGTAAAGAAAAATGTTGCAAAAACGGGAAATATTACTCAACTATTTTCACGCGGACCAAGTCGCAAACACAGCTAGTCTTTCATAAATACAGTCCGTTGTAATTTCATAACTATCGCAAACCTTTCATTGAAACTGTACCATTCATTGCGACATTTTACTCTTCCAATAAATTGCAGCCATGCGCGTCAACCCATATATCATTGGGCTTAAATTGAGGATTCCGAACTCATACAAAGGCGGAGCTGTGTTTAAGCAAGTCTGAATATTGCATGTATTTTTCAACGTGACCCAACAATATGGAGCCTCGGTCATCTCAGTCTGGAAGCCATTTATTTCATGGAAATTCTCATACATTTCGCTGCATTATGACGCTGGCCCATAGAGTGGACACAAACACAGTAATGTAAAAGCTTACTTTAATGTGTATAAATTCTTTATTAAACAATATTGTAAGAAAATAGGCTTTACACTCCTCACAAACCATTAAGCTAAACACTGTCGTATTTTAAATGGACCTAAATTCAACTCGAGTTACCACCCGGTAGACAGATGATTTATTTAACGTGACATTCTACAGAGGAGGCTCATGACCAGCTTTGAACTTCAAAAGGCCTTCAAGAAAATATAAACCAAAACCCCCAATTTAAGAGAATCCAACTACCTGTCAGACGATTACGAAATAAACAAAATGGGTAAGTAATAATTGACTCCTTTGGTTCCTTTTTTTCTCCCAACACATTATTATAACCGACTTTATTCCCTATCATTGACATTCACAAAGTTGTTCAGTGCATGTACAACCCAGCAATCGGTCGCGATCAAACTTCGCTCGCATCGTCAGATAACTCCCGTGGGCGCGACGGATTTAATTTCAATGCAGCTTTGAATTCTGTTTGCCTTCAATTTTCGAAGTAAATTTAATACCGCAGGTGAAGCTGAGTACCTGGGATAGGTTAGCTTTGTGTTGAAGTTATTAACCTACTGCTATAAAAAATTTACAGTAGGGCAAAATGGTTAATGGGCGAAAATTCATATCGACTCATTGGATCGTCTTAATGACTGTCTTTTTTATGGACTGCTCCTCTGAATGATAATCTCACCATTTCTCATACACACTCAGTTTAAGTTTTAAGTGTTAACTGGTCAGTGAAAATCCAATAAAA